ATAGCACCTCTTGTATACGACTATGAAGCAGCCCTGTTTTCTTCTTCTCGACGTCTGTTCAAAACAGTCTGTGATGCAGTGGGCGCGCGAGTTGGTGGTTGTAATTCTCGAGGTTTGACCCCTCACACCATCCTTTAACTATACACATTCGATTTGCAGCTCCAAACAGTGCCGCGTCCTCGCGCGAACTTTGGTTTACGACCGCTCCAGTAACGAAGCCCAAAAAAAATGACAAGTCTATATACGTTAATTAACACACCAGTGTACATGGCCACGCACGCTTTCTCATACACATAGTACCGGTTATATTTATAGGCAACCAGAAAGCTTCACCACGAGAGCTGCTGCACGGAAGGCAGGGGTGGCCGCCATTGCTCTCCGCCAAAAGCTGCCCATAAATTCATCCGCATGGCGGCTCTGTTCGTCGAGCGAGAACGCGATCCGCGCGTATACAACAGCACCGCGGCGGCTCTTAACGTTCGCTCGCTCGGAAATTCGCTCGGCGCACTTTTCCTCTCTTCTTTTGAATGAACGTCGCGATCTCGCCGAAACTCTCGCCCGAACGCGCCGAGTTCAACGCCTGCTCAGGCTGCGAGAAACGTCGACACGTCCACTGCTGGCGTCGACGGAAACCAGGAGGAAACAAATGAAACAAAGCTTTTCACGCGTCATTTGTCTACTCGACGGCGCGGCGGGGTGCCTGGTAGCCCCCTTGCCCGTATGATCCGCGAAAACGCCGGGCCATAGCCATCGGTTCGTTCGTTTCCTATACAGTGCTCGGCACGGAGCAATGAAGGAGGAGGGTGTTAGAAAACGAAATGCTGGCAGCGAAAGTAAAACGTCGTTTCGCGCCGCCACGTTTGAGCGGCAAGGTGCCAAAGGGGCTATGTTTGAAAAACAATGGAGGGGAAAGAATGTGACGATGGCCGAAGGGGAAAAAGAAAACAATTGAAGCGGACAGAACGGCCCGAGAACGGGAAATGACTGCACTTTAACGTCGTACACATCTCTCGTTGATTCGTTTTCGTTGATTTCGACATCTTGTTTCCCCTCAAATGTTGTGCTCTAGCTCGTAGAACAAGCGTTCAATGGCCCGTTTTTACACGACACGTGCATCTATGTCTCGTCTTTAAGCTTTGCGCCGTTCTCTCACACGGGTGGCGCTGTAACATCTGTCTAACGGCGCTGTAACGTCTGTATACAGCGCCATTAAGTGAGCCGGGTAACGTGGCATTGTTAACATGAGCGTGAAGTTATTTTTTTCCCCTTTTATCGTTTATGACATGCCCAATTCACTAGCCTTAGGATTATCTCACTAAACGGGAACTATGAGACATTTTCCACGACAGCTCCTCCGAGATGTCACTCGCACTGGTGTGCCGTGCGTAGCTAAGAGAAAAACGTAATTATTTGCGGCGAACAAATCTACGGGCGGGCACAGATAGTATACATACATCCAGCTAGGCATACCCCCAGCGTTATTGTTCAGCCACGTATACGTATAGTTTGCCGACGGCGCTGAAAAGACGTGAACTTGAACAATATGAAGTATTTTCAGGGGCGAAAAGCTCCTTAGGGTGTGGGACAGTGGGTGGTCTCTTCTGTAATGTATGTATGTAGCCAGCTCTAGTTTGCTTAATCGATGACGTTGTGTTTATATGTTCTTGTAAATATCACTGGATGGCGGTAGGGGTTTTCGCGTGATTGACGATTTCGTATAATTGACGGACATGTAGACAGACAGATGGACGGATGGACGGGCGCATCGCCCAACTCATCATCATTCACTTCTTGGATGGACTGTAATTTTTGTTTTTTTTTGGAGGGGGGGAGGGGGGCTTAACCTCTAAAAACTGCGATACGGCGTATGTTTATGAGATTTGCGTATAATGGAGGACTCCGCAAATTTCGACCCTTTGGAGTTATTCAAACGTGCACTTAAATCTAAGCACACAGGCCAGAAGTATTTCCGCCTCGATCGAAAATGTGGCCGCCACCGCTGGAATTCCGTTCCGCTGCCTGCGGGTCAGCATCCGATTGCCTTAGCCACTAGACCACTGTGGCGGGTAACAATATGAAGTCGACAAGCGATGCTTAGTGCGACAAATGATATATCTTAGTCGTACCGTGGAATTCGACAATAAATTGAAGGTACGCTTGAACTTCATCCCATGAGTAGAACGCGATAGTGTGTAATTTCGGCTCCGTATATCAATCGCCTTCTCAATCGCTAGCCTCGCTTCTTTTCCTGTCGGTAGAGGCAGCGGCTATAATTGTGGCCCCCTTTCCGCAGTGGCAGCAGAGAGGTCGGCGGCGGTCGGGAGCACGCCACATGTCAGTTTTCCTCGGAGCATTGCGCTGGCCGACGGGTGGACGGTATGCCGTCAGTGGTGGTAGTGTCTGGCGGCGGAACTGCGACGGTACCAGCCTCTTGACGTGGGCGTGGAGGGAGAGTGTAGCGTCGGGCTGCACCAGCGTAGCTCATGGCTTGCAGACTGGGGCTCTTGCGGTTGTTCGGAAAGTTCAAGCGATTGCCGAATTTTTTCGCGGGCAACGTCGGCGATTGAATCCACTTGAGGCTGCGGCGAAGGTAACAAACAGCTTGCGCATGCAGGTCCTCTCGCACGATCGCTCGAATGGTCTCACGCAGGTCCTCCGTGCTGAGGGCATGAGCTTCGGCGTAGTTGACTTAACGAGTGACGGTCATGCTGCCTTGTGCACATTTCAAGTGCCTTCCCGATTGTCGTGGCCTTGGTGAGCAATTCGTGAACCGTCTAGGTCGGGTTGCGAACAAGTCCTGCAAATACCTCTTGCTTCACACCTCACATGGGAGGGTTGGTGCGCCAGAACAGTTTCGTCGTCTCTTCCGGGAAGATTGTGACATTTTGGTTTGGTAGCTGCAACCAGGTCTCTAGGAAAGCAGCAGCCTTTTCTTGGCGGGCGACGCTCTTGTAAGTTTTCAGGAAGGCGCCGCGGAAGAGACCTCAGGATTCAGGTGCAGACTCCCGATTCTCGAACCAGGGTACGGCCCGCGTCTTCCAGGCAGAAGTAGACGCAACGCAGCTTCTCTTCAGAGTCCCACTGGTTTAAGCGGCCACTCGGTCGTACGTCTCCAGCCAGGCCTATGGCTAATCAAATGATGATCCGTGGAAGGTCGGTGGCTTCCTTGACTGCTGCTTTACGGCCGTGGCGGGTGTTGGTACAGGGGCTGTCATAGTTGTCGCAGTATAGTGGTGGTGGCCTTGGGGTTGCGAGGGTTATCCGGCAGAGCCCCGTACTCCGGATGTAGCCCTCGCTTCCTGCGGCTAGCTCGCTGATGAAGGTTGGTGTCAACGTCACCTTCACGGTGTGGGCTTGGCTCACGGCTGGAGGGGGGGCGTTCGGTGCCGGAAAGCACCTGCGCCAGATGCCACGGGGTCGTGACGTGGACGAAGGACTGGGTGTTCAGGTTAAACTGCTTATTGAGCGGAACTCGTGGACCACGTAAAAGGAAAGTCAGACTACAGCAAGACACTGATACTGATAGCGTGGAAAAGAACGTCGGCTGTCAATCAACTGACAAGCGCCGAAGCACGTCGGCATTTATGCATGTGCTGTCAAATATTACACCCTTGTCACTGGTCATAGCGCGAGCTCTGGAGTATTCCGGAGTATTCGCGTCTGGCGCGCAGTCTTAACAGAACGATCTAGAATTATCGTGAACCTTGTAGAACAAAGAGGTGCACTTTGCGCTGAGCATTCCAGACAGGCTTTGTGGGCGAAAACCGAATGAAACATAAATGTAATTAAGAAACGCGCGTCGTCTTCGAAATTGCGAGTTATTTTAATCATCAAGCTTTATCGTGTACCTAAGACAAAATCCAGTCCATCACGTTGCCTTATGACAGAGAAACGCTCGATATGTAGTTACCGAATGCAACCACACTCGACGCATATTTATACCTGGAGGCCCGTATATCTCGCTTATGGATCGTATAGGGTTTAAGCGGGCTAAGTTGGTCACGACTTCTTGCACACGCTTCCTTGCGAACACGACCACGGCTTGCTCGTTTCGAAAAATCGCGTTGGGGATTGAGTGATCACGAGAGAATGATGAGAAGCGTGAGCTCAAGCTGCACACGGAGTCATTAATAATGAGCGTTAAGCGATACACCGGCCCCCGGACAAGGTGTCCTATACCTGGCGCGCCTGTCATGACTCGCGCCGTTGATCGAGGCGTAGATGCACGCCTTTGGGGGCGCTTGTGTTATGCATGCATGGCTGAGCGGCGCGCATCGTTTCTTGAGCGACGCGCGTTAAGAGAGTAGTCGGCCCATTAATCTGTCGTCGCAGCTAGATTAATCTGTTACTTTCTGGCGCGCGCCCAGCGAATGGAGAGTTCATTGTGCTTATACTTTTTTGTGTTTAGTACATTGTTACGTAGCTAGCTCGCCTTGATATTGTTCCTTTATTCTCCAAAACAAAAAGTTATCCGCTCAGCGAGAAAGGAACACCATACAAGATCTTCTCATGCACCTTCTATGCTGCGTCCATTTTGTTGGAACAATGGTTGCTTAACAGTCGTCCGGGTCCTCCTCTGAGAAAGCCGAAATGATAGATTGTCACCTCGGCGTTGAGATTTTCGGTAATAGTATAATAACAAAACCTAACCAGAGCTGACATCTCTTTTCTGACTATCTCTCCCTCCTCTCTCTTTTAGTTTCGGTTTTTAGGGCGTACGTCCAAGATGAGATGAAGTAGGAGCAGCCGCCATTGTATTGGTACACCGGTGTACTACATTCGATGCTTACACAAATGTCGATCAGCCGAACCGGCTTCCACATTTAACGGCCTAGCGTCGATGGGCTTAGTATGGTGATCGTCAAATGAAATATTACGCGGAAGAGGAAACTTGAGAGTGTAGAGCCTACGCCAGCGCAAGATGGTTTATAAGCTCATCATAAGCAAAGGGGCTATGTATAGAAGCGAATCGAAAAAGGGGCGTACAGTAGGAAACTCACCGGCCAGATAGGACGACCTGCAAGCGACCAGCGACTGCAGGGGAGACTCGAAGAATCCTCGAGGAATGGGCTTTGCCACGACGGGGTAGGAGCCGGCCAATTGCACGGCCGCCGCTGCCGCTGCGGCCGCACCGCTGCAAGACACTGCAAGGACAGCGCGACTGATTTGAGGACGCATTACATTTTACGATGCCTTTAAACGTAGGCTGCGTGCAGTTCTTAAAAGCACACCATAAAGGGTGAAATTATGCCAATTGCTTTGTACGAAATGTTTGAGGAGGTTGGTCAGTAATGAAATACACATATAAATAACTAAGAGAAGCGAGAAGCGTGCGCGCACACACACACACACACACACACACACACACACACACACACACACACACACACACACACACACACACACACACACACACACACACACACACACACACACACACACACACACACACACACACACACACACACAACACACACACACACACACACACACACACACACACACACACACACACACACACACACACACACACACACACACACACACACCACACACACACACACACACACACACACACACACACACACACACACACACACACACACACACACACACCACACACACACACACACACACACACACCACACACACACACACACACACACACACACACACACACACACACACACACACACACACACACACACACACTGAAAATGCCAAGTGATTGTTTGGAGTACACTAAAAAGATTGTTTCCGCAAAGGATTGCCCCGCCGCGGTGGTCTAGTGGCTAAGGTACTCGGCTGCTGACCCGCAGGTCGCGGGTTCGATTCCCGGCTGCGGCGGCTGCATTTCCGATGGAGGCGGAAATGTTGGAGGCCCGTGTGCTCAGATTTGGGCGCACGTTGAAGAACCCCAGGTGGTCAAAATTTCCGGAGCACTCCACTACGGCGTCTCTCATAATCATATAGTGGTTTTGGGACGTTAAACCCCACAAATCAATCAATAAATTCCGCAAAAGATTGTTTTCCGGCAAACCTGTCAGAGCTCAAGAACGTTCGCTTCTGGAGAATGTTGCACAACTTTGTGTGTGTGTATAAAACACGCGGATTTCGCTTCAGTTTCTTCTGATTTCTCTGACTATTCAAGCTGGCGACTGCAACAATTTTGCAAGCCAGCGGCCCTGTTTCTAAACAGCAGCTCCAACGCAATCGCAGTTACTATGAAATGGCTGAGGGATTGGAGCCACTTATAGATGAACTACCATTCAGTGTAGGTTGAATTTTAGCAACAAAGAAATGGTACGCATTGTCAATCGCGCCTATACTCACCCGCTGTCATAGTTTTTCTATATGCTGTATCCATACAAGGTATAGCAGACCAAGCTTTCATATACGTGAACATTATATATGCCATTCTTTCTATTGTTCTCTGTCTATCTTTTCTAAATAGATTTTGGCATCCACCAAACTGCTAGCAACGGCGACGACTTCTCTTTTCCGTGCTCCTGAAGGTGGCGTGTATGGATAAAATGAAGCACACATGTGACGTCACATAAACAGAAAGACGACACGCCTCTAATACGAGTACCGTCACCATAGAACAGTCGCCTTCAGAGCACCCGAGTAAGCAAACTTCTTTCCATGCAAGAGCTACGGAGAGAAAATGACGCAGCATTCATTCTTTTGTAAATTTTGAAAGTGAAGTTCGCGTCTCATGCTGTTCGAATACGGGAGGGCCGACCATAATCGAGCGTCTTTTAATTCGTAGCGCGCTTGGGACGCTTCTTCCTCTGCTCTTGACCTCAACTTTCCGTCCATGTGCTGTGTGTGTGTGTGTGTGTGTGTGTGTGTGTGTGCGTGTGTGTGTGTGTGTGGTGTGTGTGTGTTTTACTTATCACTTCTTCCTCCTTAGTCCAACAAGGCTGAAGAGGACCGACATTCACCGTACACAATTCACCCTACGATTCCCCTCCCACAAGTAGGAATCGATTACGTGTATGGGCGCACATGTTTTCACTTATTTGGTCCGGTTTCTCGTACGAACTGAGTGGCGCCTGACACCCCATGTGTCCGACAAGTTGTAGTATTTGATATACTTTACCGTTTGCGCGTCTGTGGCGAATTTAGTTCTCAGCTTTCCTGCTGCGTTTAATTTTGTACGTCCATTTGGTCGTCACAAACTTGTCATTTTACCTCATATGATAGAGCGTTTTCGATGATCAGCTATAGATGCTTCATGTCGATATACGTTCATACGTACCACATTGTGCTGCTCCTTTCTTTCAATAAAACAGTACAGCAAAATGTAAAATGTGAACATATATATTTCTTTTCCGTACACTTACAACTATAGCACACCCAACATGTACATGTATAGTACATGTGTTCTTCATGACAACTGATTTCAACGTATCTTCGTGTTCTCAAGGCGGACACTATTTTCGTGCGTATAAAAGAAACGCACACACGTAAGAAGGCATTGATTTATCGCGATAAACAACGTCTGTTGCAAAGGTCACTTTTCATGGTTGAAAAGACATGAAGTTAGGTGTTGAGTACTTTATTACTTGCACCTACTTTCTTGATTTTGAAAGAGTGAGATGTTCCTCACTGAGCACATGTGCCTTCGAACAAGCTGTTGTTATGGGATCGATTAAAGTAGGCCCCGAGTCGAGCTTCATTGCATTGGAAGATGTCACTTCAGAGGAAAAGCAAAAAAGGAAATAATCTTGTGGTTTAAGACATAAGATGGCTACATGGACAAGGTGCTATAGGGCGATATATCCACGTCAATGAAGATTTATTTTTTTTTTCGTGTGTGTTGTTGCTGTAAAAAATAGAATGGGAGTTATTCGTACTCACTTCTTGTTTAGTTTTCATTTCAAAGAACAAGTAGACAGCTCGGGCCCGCACGTCAATACTTCGGACCAATAAAGAAGCAAAAAGAGCACCCATGGCTAATATTTACATTAAAAAGACGAATGTACTCGCTATATTAGCCACACAGCAAGGGAATCTTGCGTGCAGTTGTTCTTGGAGCTGAACCAATGGCTTGTGCGTACGCGCGCGCGCGCGCGCGCGCGCGCGCGTGTGTGTGTGTGTGTGTGTGTGTGTGTGTGCGTGCGTGTGCGTGTGTGCTGATTTCACGTACACCCACGCAGAATACTGTCGTGAGCATCGGGTTCTGACGGGATGTTTTATTTTGCCTCGCCTCAATTCAGCACAAGCACACGGTAGCGCCTGCGGAACAACAGCCAAGCCAATGGCGGAAAGGCTACAGCACAATAGTCCATCATTATACATTATTGTCGAGCAATATGTCGAAACACCACACTGCTGGTTGTTTGCGCACGCTAAACACACACACACACACACACACACACACACACACACACACACACACACACACACACACACACACACACACACACACGCATATGCACACACACACACATGTACTCTCTCTCTCACACACACAGACACACGCACGCACACACGCTCATGCATCACACACACGCACGCACATGCATACATACACACACACGCACACTCAAACACACACACACACGCACATACATACACACACACGTACACACACACGCGCGCACACACACACACGCACGCACACACGCATAGACTCACACACACATGCACATACATACACGCACATACACACACACACGCACGCACACACGCACGCACACGCACATACATGCATACACACACACGCTCGAACACACACACACGCACACACACATACATACACACACACGCACACACACGCACACGCACGCACACACGCATAGACGCACGCACACACACACACACACACGCACACACACACGCACGCACACACACGTGTGTGTGCATACGCATGCTTAAAAGCGCGCGCACGCATATGCACGCTCACACGCACGCACGCAAAGAACAAACTGAAAAAAAATGGCCCCGTATGTGCATGCAATCTGCAAACGTCATCAAAATCTTGCGTGTGGAAAGAGTGAACAAGACATTTATTTGATGTTCTGCGCAAGAAAATCGGTGAATGGTATTCTGGGGGCGCTGCGTTAGAGTGCCTCGAGCGTGCAGCGGAGGCGAACGAGCGCATCAAGTCACGTCATGGACGGATGGATGGATGGATGATGGATGGATATGGCTGTACCCTTTAGATCGGGCGGTGGCTAGCACCACCAAGCCGTAATACTTAATGAACCAAAAACTAGACTTATTTTTTTCCCTTTAAATTGTGAGGTTGAGGATTCTTACTTTGCAGTGAAGGGTTTAATTTTCAATCGTGCCTTGACCTCCTTCTAGTTAATTCTCTCACGTCTCACGTGAGAGATAAGCGCCATCTGGTAGTTTTTTTTTAAAACAAAGCGCGCGGCTCTGAGACAGGTGTGCGCGCCCATTTCAGAGGTGATAAAATCTAGGACGCAAGGCGACGGGTCGGTGCCACCACCGTCTTGTTTTAGCAAAGCGTTGGAGACACTCGTCTTTCCGTGCAAGTGTTGCATGGTCAGCGCAACAGGATAAGCGCTACTCTCCTTAAGATTACTTATGTATGCCTTTTCTAGTAAAAGGCTTACATACAAAATATATACAAGTTGTTATGGTGCCCCATACATGCGCAATAATTGCTTTTTAACTGACAGTTGCACAAACATGAATGCTCAACTTTGAGCAACATATATAGGCGCTGCATTCGGGGTCGGCCGTTTCAAGTACCCGATGCCGTTAAGAGTGGACAGACAGACAGACAGACAGACAGACAGACAGACAGACAGACAGACAGACAGACAGACAGACAGACACACCAACATGTTTGCGTCGAAGGTCCCCAAGAAATCTACCGTGTTTAATAATAACACAGCTTTGTTCACTAAACGTAGGATAGCTAGAGTTGTTGTACAATAATATATATATATATATATATACATATATATATATATATATATATATATATATATATATATATATATATATATATATATATATATATATATATCTTGTGATGTAACAGTAAAGGCAACCTTTATTACGCCCGGAAGACACGATGAAGCGACCACGCCCAAGGCACAGAACTCAGACAAGCCAAGTCCCCACAGCAGAAGAAGATGACGACCACTCATGATGATGAATATGTGTAAAGATAGATGATGTGCTTAATGAATGCCTACACTAACTTCCCCTCCCACGTGAAAGCGGTCATCCTGACCGCAGTTCTTGGCCGCATTTTAAAGCGAAGATGAACGCCGTATGAAAGGCTTCATGCGGGATACGTGGACTATTTCTGCTGCCCTGTAGCGGCGGTCCGTCGGAAGAAGAACGGGTGCCACGCGATAATTCACAGGAGACGTTTGCTCCAAGACAGTGTAGGGGCCAATAAAACGTAATTGAAACTTCTCGCACAGTCCGGGAGTGCGAATGGGTGTAAGAAGGAGGACTTCGTCGCCAGGGCTGAAAGACACGGCACGATGGGAGGCATCATATTCAAGCTTGCGATCCTGTTGCTTGGCTTCAGTGTTGACGCGAGCCAGCTGGCGGCAATGAAGTAGACGAGACACGTATTCTTCACTTGAAGATGAACATGGTTTGACAGGCGCAGAGAAGAACGAAACATCGAGGAAAGAAGAGGGGAAGCGACCGTGGACGAGGTAGAACGGCGAGTAACCTGTTGTGCGCTGTACAGAGGTATTATACGCAAAAGTGACAAATGGCAAAATGGTGTCCCAGTTTCTGTGGTCGGGTTCGATATACATCGCAATCATGTCTGACAGTGTACGATGGAAGCGCTCAGTCAGGCCGTTCGTCTGAAGATGGTAACTGGAGCTTGTTTTGTGTGTAGTGCCGGCTGCCTTGAGCACTTCTTCGACGAGTGCTGAAAGAAATACTCTTCCACGGTCGCTCAGGATTACACGAGGAGCTCCGTGTCGAAGGATTATTGCTCGAAGGATGAAGTCGGCCACTTCCGAAGCTGATGCAGAAGGCACGGGAGCTGTTTCGGCGTAGCGGGTCAGGTGGTCGACAGCTGTAACTATCCAACGATTGCCCGTGACAGTCATAGGAAGCGGACCATACAGGTCAATGCCAACTACCTCGAATGGTTGCAGGGGACACGGGAGCGGTTGTAATTGTCCACTTCGAGTTGATGTAGGTAGCTTGCGACGCTGACAAAGGGCGCATGAGGCAACGTACTTCGCGACACAGGTGGACAAGCCCGGCCAGTAGTAGTGGACATCTTATGCGGTCATACGTTTTCTGGAAGCCCATGTGTCCAGCAGACATGTCGTCGTGATATGTCTTGAGGACTTGAGCCCGAAGAGAGCGAGGTAGAACGGG